TATATATATTTCTGTTAGCATTTAAAAATTTTTTTTTATTAATGTTAAATGTGTTTTAGCATGTTTAGCTTTTGTTGATGTTTTGGTATGACTAAAAGTTGATAATATTAAAAAAAACAAAAACTTTTTTTTTAAAAATCACACAAAGTTCTAAAAAAATGTTGAGGCTTAGGGTTTCAATGTCCTCAACTTTTATATTTCTTAAATATTAAAGTATTTTTAATATTATCGATGCTATTTTATGTAAAAGAATCAACTAAAACCCCATCACATAATGTTTACCATAGAGGACGTGACCTTAAAACAACATGTAGCAGCAAATGTATAGTTCAACATTAGACTTCAACAGAAGCCCCATAATGCACCAGCTCTCCGTGTGTCTTCATTCTGGATCAGTCTGAAATCCGTTCCAGTGCGTCTGATCCTCTAAAGCTCCTCATCGGACTGCCCTTCATCCCAGCTGCACGTCTCTGGCACGCTGTTCTCTGGAAACTCCACCTCCAGATCATACACGAAGTCCGCATCCTCCTTGTGTTTGCGGTTGCACTCGAACAGCTGGTCCATCTGGGCCTTCCTGCGGTTCAGCTCCTCATCGCTCAGAATAAATTTTTTTTTTTAAATATGTCTACTGAGTATTTATGGATATTTTGAATTTAGTTTTCATTCATATATTTTCCATTTTGATTTTATTTTAAAGTTTTAATAATTCGTTTTTTTCTGTCTATAATTAGTTGTCTTCTATCTTTATACTCATTAGTATTTTGAATGTTTAATTATTAATTTATTTAATATTTTCTCTCTTCATTTTCGTTTGAAAGTTTTAGTAATTGTATTGTTGTGTTTGCGGTTGCGCTCGAACAGCTGGTCCATCTGGGCCTTCCTGCGGTTCAGCTCGTCATCGCTCAGTTTATTCAGGTCCTCGTCGCTGGGGTCGGACACCCGTCGGGCGGCGAGACTCTCCTCCAGACTGAGACCCTTCAGATGATCACGCAGTATGAGGTGAAGCCTTTCCAGCTGAGCCGAGGAAACCGTCTCCAGATACACGCTGTGACGCGCGTGATGCTTCAGTCTCTCTGCTGCTCGACTGCAGTCTAGAAACGGGGTGTAATACTTTATATTCATATTCGTTAAAACAATCGTTCAGCCAGAAATAAAACTAGCTGAAAATGTGCTCATCTTCAGGGCATCCGAGATGTAGATGAGTTTGTTTCTTCATCAGATTTGGAGAAATGTAGCATTGTATCACTTGCTCACCAATGAAAGTGAATGGGTGCCGTCAGAATGAGAGTCCAAACAACTGAGAAAAACACCACAGTAAGTAACCCACAGCACTCCAGTCCATCAGTTAACATCTGGAGACGACAAAAGCCAAGCCAAAACAGCTCTAAACAAATATGTGGCTGGATTTCGATGTGAGAGACAACAGGAGATGGATACTGGAGGAAGTGTTATTATGGACTCATATGTGACACTGGAGCACAAAAGCAGTCTTAAGTAGCTGGGGTATATTTGTAGCAATAGCCAACAATACATTGTATGGGTCAAAATTATAGACTTTTCTTTTATGCCAAAAATCATTAGGATATTAAGTAAAGATCATGTTCCATGAAGATATTGTGTAAATTTCCTACCGTAAATATATCAAAACTTAATTTTTGATTAGTAATATGCATTGCAAAGAACTTAATTTGGCCAACTTTAAAGATGATTTTCTCATTATTTTGATTTTTTTTTGCACCCTCAGATTCCAGATTTTCAAATAGTTGTATCTCAGCCAAATATTGTCCTATCCTAACAAACCATACATCAATGGTAAGCTCATTTATGAAAGCTTTCATTCGAATTTAAAAAAATTGACCCTTTATGCCTGGTTTTGTGGTCCAGGGTCACATATTTTAACCAGAAATGATGGTTTGAAGTTAAAAACATCTCAATAATGGATTTGTTTCTTACAAACACGCAGCTTTGGGATTCTCTAGACATTAACTGATTGGACTGGAGTCGTGTGTGGATTATTGTGATGTTTTTATCAGCTGTTTGGACTCTCATTCTGACGGCACCCATTCGGATCCATTGCTGAGCGAGTGATAGCATGCTACATTTCTCCAAACCTGATGAAGAAACAGACTCATCTACATCTTTGATGGCCTGAAGGTGAGGACATTTTCAGCTAATTTTTCATTTCAGGTCAACTGCTCCTTTAAGTCAGTAGCCTATTTAATATGCATTTAACGGTTCCTTTATGCGTTACATTAGAAAACGAGGCGTGATGATCGCTCTCAAACAGACTCACCTGAATACTGAGAGAAGTTCCTCACAGGTATGACTCTTTTCCTCATCTTGCTGGTGGATTTGTTCTCATATATGAGGATGATGGAAGGGGGGATAAATTTCACTCCACAGCGCTTCGCTACTATGGACATTTTCACTCACGCTTCCATTTCCAGCTGCAGAAACAAACGAGAAATAATGTCCATAAAGAGTTTAAGACTAACTATCTATCTATCTATCTATCTAGTACTGTAACCATAGCAACAGTGAGATGTTTCGCGCAGACTACCGGAATATTGATCACTCGCTTGTTTCGCTCTGGTTTTCTTAAAGGCACAGGCTCACATTTAACACAATGCACGCTTTCGCAAAGAAACCGGCTGCTGAGCGTGAAACGAAAGCGTTTACAGTTGTTGTGGTCGTTTGACCGAGGTTTCCACGCTTCCTCTTCGCTGTTGTAACGGTTCTTCTTCTGCTGAGGGAGTTTCACGCGCGACGCTCCACAGCGCCCTCTACCGGAGCGACGTCATCAGACCCGGAAGTGAAACCGGGATTATTACAGCATGGCTAGGTTTTATTTATTAGCAACTGTTTTGTGTTTCATCCGTCGTGGGAGTTCAAAACAAGGTATTTGCAATGCTAGACGTGCTTGATTTATCATTAGCCATCAATTCGCGTCAAATAAACGACAAAGCCTAATTTTTTCCCCCCCATTCAGCAGATTGTTTTCCATCAGAATGGTTGAAGTCAGTGTCGGTGTCTGTGAAGATTTCCAAAGCAGGATTTCACAGGTCTCCTCTTGCTCCTTATGTGTTTGTTTATGTTTACCGCGTCTTGATGGTTAAATACGGTGTTTGGTTTCTAGAGATCTTCAATACAGGGTTCAGTGGAGCAGCACAGATCACGATGTCCAAGCTTTACTGGTCCAGAAGCTGCCCAGTGGAGTTTACATGGACGCATACCAGCTGGAAACACTGAGGCGCGACACGGGTTTGGAGGTCAACACTGTTTCATCTTCATTTCATACCAGCTCATGTTGAAATGCAGCGTATCAGGTGTCCGTTTGTAAACACTGCATTAACTAACACTGCTTTATTGTGTTGTAGGTTCTCCTGGATTCAGAGGTCGATCTGGAAGCTCCAGAGTATCTGTCCTCTGGGTTCACGGCGCTGGTTTTTCTCTCAGGAACGCACGAGGCTGTGGTTCCCGTTCACGGCCGATATCACAGACCCTCAGACTCCAGCAAACCAGTGAAAGTAGACATCGAGCCGCCCAGAGTACTGCTCAGATCAGACCAGTGTGAGACACTGCAGACGCGCGCGCTCGGTGAGTGAATCAAGCCTGGTCTGTCTGCTGAACCCAGCGTGTTTCTGTGCTTCTCTCAATCACAGGCCGCACACTGGGTCCTGGGGTACGTGGTGTAGTGGTCGAGGCTCCCTGTACCGTCAGCAACCACAGCATCTGCTCATGGATGCAGATCCTGGATCTACAGGTGATGCTTATCAAGCCAAAGTGCTGTGACCCTGGAGCACAAAACCAGTCTTAAGTGTAAATTTTTCGAAATTTACATGTATGCATCATCTGAAAGCTGAATAAATAAGCTTTCCATTGATGTATGGTTTGTTAGGATAGGACAATATTTGGCCGAGATACATATTATATAATAATACATAATATGTGTATTGTTAATAAATAATATTTTAGTATAATGCAATATGTGTCATAATAACATGATTTTGAGTCATATTTTATGTATTGTATAATAATAATAGCAATGTGTTTATATAATTGTATATGTATCATGTTATGAAAACATTATATGTTTAATATAATAATAATAATAATATATCATTGCATACGTACATATTTTAATGTAATTAATATATAATATGTAGTATTATTACTTATAATGATAATAGTTTCTATAAAAATTTACAATATAATAATAATAATAATACATACTTTAATATAGGCTAATGTAATATTAATATGAATAAATATGTATTATAGCAATGTTCATGCATACTTTAATGTAAATTATATGTAGCGTTATTATTTATAATTGCATATTATATAATAATAGTATATCATTTTATTTATAATAGTAATAGGCCTATACAATATTATAGCAAAGTTCATGCATATTTGTAAGTAATATATTAGTAATTATTTATAATAATATATAATATGCACAAAATTGACTGTAACACACACACACACACGCATACTTATTATAATAAGATATTGTTTTATAATATATACCAATACATATTTTGATTTTATTATTATTAATATTTAATATAATATATCATAGCAGAGTTCATGCATGCTTTAATAAAATATATATTCATCATATAATTTATAATAATTAATTTTGTATAATATAGTATAATATAGGTATTTTTATATAATTTTATATTTATAATAGCATTATTTATAATAGAAATATTATTTTATGCAATATATAAAAAATATTTAGATTTTTTTATTATTATTAATATTTATATATAACGAAGTTCATGCATACTTTAAAAAATGTATATTTATAATAATACTAATATTTATTATAGCAAACTTCATGCATGTTTTAATAAATTGTATATTCATCATGATATCATTTATAATAATTAATTTTGTATAATATAATTATAACACATATATTTATGATAGTAACATATAACAATATTATTATTAATAATAAAATACCATATGATACATAATAATAATATGTTTATATAATTTTATATTTATAATAGCATTATTTATAATAGAAATATTATTTTATGCAATATATAAAAAATATTTAGATTTTTTTATTATTATTAATATTTATATATAACGAAGTTCATGCATACTTTAAAAAATGTATATTTATAATAATACTAATATTTATTATAGCAAACTTCATGCATGTTTTAATAAATTGTATATTTATAATAACATTATTTTTCATTATAAACATTTTATAATGTAACAATAACACATATTTAAGTATAGTTTGATATTTATAATAGCGTTGAGTAAATGCAGTGTTTTTGCTGCTGCGTGTGGTTCAGGGTGATGCAGGAGTGAGTCTGGAGCTCCCGGTCGGAGACTCGTCGCTGGTCCTCACAGTGTGTGCGGGGACTGTACTGACCGCTGTACTGAGCTGTGTTTACCTGCTCCGAAAAATCTGGAAACACGGCAGCTTCTGACCACAGTCTGACAGATCCCTCACACAGTGCTAGAGCTACATATTTTGATTTTATTATTATTAATATTTAATATAATATATCATAGCAGAGTTCATGCATGCTTTAATAAAATATATATTCATCATATAATTTATAATAATTAATTTTGTATAATATAGTATAATATAATTATAACACATATTTATGATAGTAACATATAACAATATTATTATTAATAATAAAATACCATATGATACATAATAATAATATGTTTATATAATTTTATATTTATAATAGCATTATTTATAACAGAAATATTATTTTATACAATATATAAAAATATTTAGATTTTTTTATTATTATTAATATTTATATATAACATATTGCGAAGTTCATGCATACTTTAAAAAATTTATATTTATAATAATACTAATATTTATTATAGCAAACTTCATGCATGTTTTAATAAATTGTATATTTATAATAACATTATTTTTCATTATAAACATTTTATAATGTAACAATAACACATATTTAAGTATAGTTTGATATTTATAATAGCGTTGAGTAAATGCAGTGTTTTTGCTGCTGCGTGTGGTTCAGGGTGATGCAGGAGTGAGTCTGGAGCTCCCGGTCGGAGACTCGTCGCTGGTCCTCACAGTGTGTGCGGGGACTGTACTGACCGCTGTACTGAGCTGTGTTTACCTGCTCCGAAACATCTGGAAACACGGCAGCTTCTGACCACAGTCTGACAGATCCCTCACACAGTGCTAGAGCTAGACCAGTGCTCTAGAGAAATGTGCATGAATGAATAGGATGCTATCAGAGTGTTACTGTGTTACTCGGATTGTAAATAAAGCTGGATGTTACTTTGTTTAAAAAAATATATTTTGCTTCTGTCTGTTATTACATCAATGTTTAAAATGAAATATGTAAAATAAAATAAAATATAAAAAATATTTTAAATAAATGTACAATTATTAGCATTTAGATTATTTCTATTTTATATATATATATATATTTATATATAATGCAATTTTGAAAATATTTAAATAAAAAATTTATAATCGTCATAAAAAATATAATTAATTAAAAAGTTCCCATTAATACTGTTTAAATATTTAAGTAATAGATTTATTGTTAATTTTATGATAATTATTATTAATTTATTCTGACACTATTTTCATGATATGGTTATGGTCATCCTAAAAATCACCTTAATATTTTAATGCTAAATATAATTACTTATTTTATGATTATTATTAATAGTAATAATAAATTATTATTAATCTAAGGACAGTTATTCTGACATTATTTTTCTATATATATAATGCAATTTTGAAATATTAAATAATTAAATGTTTTAAAAACATATAATCGTCATCAAATGTTTTATACAAGATGTGTAATATAAAGTAAACTATTTAAAATTATATACAATTTATTTTATCTCATATTATTACTATTATTTTTATAAAAACAATTGTGAAAATAATATATATTCTTTTTCGAGAGATTCTTTTGTTTATGTCTGTTATTACGTCATCAATATTTTGAGACATATATATTTTATTAAGATTTAAATATTGATATATATAATCATAATTGAATATGTGTGTGCGTGTGTATACAATTCCAAACTATAAAACATTTGAATAATATAAATCTTTTAAAAAAGTATAATCCTTAATTTATTTATGCATTAATGTTGATATATAATGTTTTACAGATTAAAAGTAATATACATTCTTTACAGCAATATATTTTTATATATATATAATGCAATTTTGAAATATTATATATTAATATTTAAATAAAAAATTTATAATCGTCATAAAAAATATAATTAATTAAAAAGTTCCCATTAATACTGTTTAAATATTTAAGTAATAGATTTATTGTTAATTTTATGATAATTATTATTAATTTATTCTGACACTATTTTCATGATATGGTTATGGTCATCCTAAAAATCACCTTAATATTTTAATGCTAAATATAATTACTTATTTTATGATTATTATTAATAGTAATAATAAATTATTATTAATCTAAGGACAGTTATTCTGACATTATTTTTCTATATATATAATGCAATTTTGAAATATTAAATAATTAAATGTTTTAAAAACATATAATCGTCATCAAATGTTTTATACAAGATGTGTAATATAAAGTAAACTATTTAAAATTATATACAATTTATTTTATCTCATATTATTACTATTATTTTTATAAAAACAATTGTGAAAATAATATATATTCTTTTTCGAGAGATTCTTTTGTTTATGTCTGTTATTACGTCATCAATATTTTGAGACATATATATTTTATTAAGATTTAAATATTGATATATATAATCATAATTGAATATGTGTGTGTGTGTGTATACAATTCCAAACTATAAAACATTTGAATAATATAAATCTTTTAAAAAAGTATAATCCTTAATTTATTTATGCATTAATGTTGATATATAATGTTTTACAGATTAAAAGTAATATACATTCTTTACAGCAATATATGAATTACACAATATTAATAATTATAATATATTTAATATTTATAAGTAACAATTTTGAAATATGAAATACTTAATTTATAAAATATTGATACATAATCATAACAATGTGTGTGCAATATTAATAATTATAATATACATAGTTATAAGTAATTGATTTATAAGTAACAATTTTGAAATATTAAATACTTAGTTCAATTTATATTTAAATATAAAATATTGATAAATATATAATCATAATTGAATGTGTGTGTGCGTGTGTATACAATTCCAAACTATAAAACATTTGAATAATATAAATATTTTTTAAAAGTATAATCCTTAATATTAATGCATTAATGTTTATATATAATGTTTTACAGATTACAAGTAATATATATATATATATATATATTATCAGCAATATATGAATTAGGCAATATTAATAATTATAATATTAAAAAATATAAGTAATATATACATGTTAATTGCAATAAATAAATCAATAATTCCTGTTAAAAGTAATTCTGGAATTGAATTCGATCACCGGACTTTTATTTTGTCACTTGTTTTCCCAGAATCCCGTCGCACCGGAAACAGTCGCTGGCTGTTTGCTGCAGGCGAGGGCAGAAAGAGACGCTGCTGGGCGCCTCCCCTTCCCCAAACCAGCACAAAAAACTACCAAAAATAAAGCGATACGCTGCAGATAACGGCGCAGAAACCTTCCGACGGGGCTTCGGCGTCGCCTCAGGCTCTTCCCGGACAGAGCAGCTCCTCCGCGGCCCGCTGGAGCGCGTCAGACTGAAGTTTGAGCTCCGCTTCGCAGGTGAGCCGCGACAAAACCCGAGATTCTCCGGCCGCGTCCCAAAACCTAGTGTGCTGCCTACCTAGAGCCTCGGCGCGAGCGCTCGGGTGCCTCTGTGCAGTGCTGTGTAAGTAGGGCTCGTGTTTGCAGGCAGCTTTCAGCTCTGGGTCGGGTTTCTCTCTGCGTGTGTGTGTGTCGCTTCTGCTCGCGCCAGAGAACAGGGAAGATAAACACAACAGTACTGTGTCAGGAAATATGATAATAATCATAATTAACCACTGCTAATGAATTAACTAACGTTAGCGGTGCTGAGACGAGTTCTGGAGAAGCTCTTAGAAGCCTGAGGTGATTCTAGTTCATATGCTTTGCATAAATTAAACGTATTTAAAAAGTAATTTTTTGTTTGCTATTGTTATTATTATTATAGTAATCTTTGGGTAATTTTTTAGGACAATTATTATTTATTTATTCTGTCATTATAGGATAAAATCGTCTGAACATTTTATGCAAAATATAATGAATTAAAAAGTTCCCATTAACGCTGATTTAATCTGTTTAATTGTTAATTTTATGATGATGATTATTAATTTATTTTGACACTGTTTTCATGATAGTTGATAGCGTACAATGGTTCTGATGATCCTAAAAGTCACCTTAATATTTTAATTAAAAAAATTATTTTAATATGTTAATATGTATTATTTTTTTATTATTGTTATTATTTAATACTAGTAATTATTATCAATTATTATTCATCTTAGGACAATTATGAATTTTTTCTGACATTATTTCCATTATAATTAAGCGTAGTTTAGTATGATTCTAAAAAATTGTCTAAATATTCTTTATGCGAAATATAATTTCATGTTTTTTAAATATGGAAATGATTCAATCTAAATTTGCAATAATGGAAAAAATATATAGTTTCTTATTTTTTCCCATTAATATTAATCGAGGTATTATTTTCAAGATGAGCAAGTATGAAATTGCAATTTCTTTTTTTTTTTTTATTTGTTTTATATACAGAGTTAATATCATTCACTGACTAAACTAAAAAAATAAAATAAACTAAAAAAATAAATTTTTTTTATATTGTGCATAATTGCAGTGTCATGCAGCAGAAGTGAATGAAGCAGGACTGAGAGGCTGCAGTGTTTCTGATGTGTTTGTTTGCCGCTGGTGTCGTCTGCGTGGCTCATCTCTCCGTTGTGCTTCCCTTCTGCTCCTGCAGCTCTAACTCCTCCTTTTCTTTATCTCCACCTGCAAACATTCCCCTCCTTTCTTTCCTTTCTGCTCGTCCCGGACCATGTGTGATAATGGGGATCTGGAGGACAAGCCGCCCGCGCCGCCCGTCAGGATGAGCAGCACCATCTTCAGCGGCGGGAAGGACACGCTGGCTGCCAACCACAGCTCCAAGCCCCTGCCCTCGGTGCCCGAGGAGCGCAAGCGCAACAAGATCTACTCCATCTTCTCCGGAGCCGAGAAGGGTGTGTCCCCATTCACTCGCTTCATAGCAAGCGGCTCGTCACGCTCCGGCGAGAGCCGTGTGAGGAAGAGCTAGGGCTGAAACCGAAGTAGTTTCAGAACCTCTAACCGACGTAATCTTCCCGTGCCGTTTTTTTAATCCTATTAATACTTTCCCCTTAACCCTCTAAGCGCCAAAGTCGCAAAATTGCAACAAGACGTCATACTTAATCAAATAGACTGTAGTTCCTAATATGGTGTAATATCTCA